ACTTAGGTAAGAGATAGGAGTTTGCAATCCACATTACCTATTACTTGGTCTTTTGATGTCATGGAAGTTTTTATTGAGAAACTTGAGCTTTTTGGGGACAACCGTTTCCAGAATCTTCTTTCCAATCACCAATGACATTATTGGAACACATGAATATGACCAATAAGAGCTTGTTTATATTCCAAAAACTAACATGTTTCGTGTCAGTCAATCACCTTTGGTGAGGATTTGTGCTACAAAAAATTCAAGGTCAAACTGAGGTAGGTAAAATTCCTCAGAAAATCATAAAAGCAATAGCTCTAAGAGACCCACAAGTGATTGGAAGAGGAAAAATAAGCCCTTCTGTTATCAAAAACCTCTATATATCTCTTGTTTCAAAGGTTAAATAGACCTTTAAGTACTTCACAATCAGTTCTTTTTCCTTTGGGAACTTTCTTGCCATGGTATCAAAGGTGTTACTTGATTTTTCTTGGTTATTAGAAGTCAAGTTTTTGAGTGAAAAGATTTGTAAACAAAAGAGAAAGGGTAAAGGTGACTCTTGAAGTTATACTTCAAGTTGTTTTAATGAAATTATTAAGACTTTATTAGCAAAGAAGTATAGAAACTTTTTGCAATCATCTTTTTTTTTTGTGTGGTCAGAGGATTAGCAAAAAGAGTTTTATTTAAAACAACTTTTCTTTAACTTATTATTATTTGAAGGAACATCTATAGTAATTTCATATTGAATAGGATATGGTAAAAATAAGGCAAAAATCAAAAGACATTTGTTAATCAAAATAAAATATATCACTTTTTCTTTTTCTTCTAGTACCTCTTTTATAATGTAGAATTTTTATTCTTGTTTAAGCTTGTATAGTCTTTTTCAAATTTGTAATTCTTATTTAAAAGTAGAATAGAAAATATGAATAACAATAAATTATAATTTAATATATATTTCTTTTTTTTTTTTTCTATTTTTGAAATTTATTTGTAAGTACTAATCAGGTTCTAGATTAGTCATCTTTTGTTTGAAATAGGTAACTTAACTACAAGATAATATATTTCTTTTAAGAATTCTTCTATTGTAATATTTTATTATTTAAATAGCTTGGATGTATAGTTAGAAAAGTTTTTTTTCTCTGTTTTCTAAAGTTTCAATAAAGTCATAGTTTTGACAATAGAAAAAAAAAAAGTAATACAAATTATAAAATTTTATCTTTCTTAAAGTTTTTCAAGTAATAAAAAAGTTTTCTAATTTCTTTTAAGCTATTTTAATTTAGTACTTACTTAAATGATAGACTTAATTAAATTGATTTATTTGATACTATAGATATTAATAAAAAAAGGATTTTTTTTAAGGTTCCAATAGAAACAAAAAAAATATTTCAATTAGATAAATCTTTTTTGAAAAAAGGTTGTTCAGTTAATAAAATTTTTTGTAAAAACTTAAATTATATTCTTTTTTTTTTTTTCTTTTCTTTTATTAACTAAATAATTTATGATTTTCAAGTAATTTATAGTAACAAATTGTTGATAATAAACTTAGAAAATAGAAATTTATATTAATTCTTTAAAAAAATGAAATTTAATCTTTAAACCTGACTTAGAGTATTTTAATGCAATAATGAATTAGTCATTATATAAAAAATCTATAAATAATACTATAGATATTTATATAAATTTTTTAATAAAAATTAAACCATATGACATGGTTGGAATTAAAAAAAAAAAATGAATTGTTGATGAATTTTTTGCAAATTATTCACAAATTGTTGATTAATTATATTGCTAAATATTTTTTTATTATTTTATTGATAATTTATTGCTGAATTTTATTGCTGAAATAGTAATATACCAAGTGGTAACAATTGAAAAGGATTAATCTATATTTTTATTATCAAATTTAATTAAATTTGACAATAATTCAATTAATATGCAAAAGTTTTCAATAGAATATTATTAACTTTAAAAGATATTAGAATCTTTTAAAGAATTCAAATATAATTTTTAGTAGATGTAAATTATATATTCATTTTTTTAAGAATAATAAGTAAACTTAATTTCATTCGACTCTAAATTTTCGCTATATATTTTCTTTATTTGTCAATTCTCAAAAAAAAAAAAAAAGGTATATCTAACTTGACTTGATTTTAAATTTTTTATGATATCAAAATTTATAGTTAATTAAAGAATTGGATTTAAAGATATATGATATACTGTATATATAGAGTATACAAAAGTTTAATAAAGTATATGCAATTAACCTAGTAGGGGATTATAAAAAAAAATATCGGTGACGTTAAATGAAAGGCAAATTACTCAATACAAGTATAAATCTCACCTGTCTTTAATAAATGATATGGTTCAATAGAAAGTCAACATGTTAACCAAGATATTTATTAAACAGGCTATTTATTGACTAGAAATCAAAATATTACTAATTAATATTTTAATATCAATATTTTTTAAAAAAACTTAATTATTAAATCTATTAACCTATTATTGTATAGTACCGCATTATTTTGCATAGAAAACGAACAACCGATTTTATTTATAATACCATATAATCATAATCGAGATCTAAAATTGTATTAGCATAAATCGTTGGTGGAATTATGTGACTGCTAATCTGCGGAAACAAACGTTTCTATTGGGTTCATGTTCAAGCATTTGGTGCTTTAATAGGAAGTTCTTTCTTTGAAGATGATTCTACCTATTTATACTGCTATTTGATCCATATCACCAAGACACCCGTGGTTAGTAAATGCTTTTCATTTTATTATCTCGTCTATTAGCTAAAGGCAACTACAGGCGGGGAACAATGAATGGCTGTAATAAAAATTTGTATACATGTTATATGAATTGTGTATATAATCCAAAATCAAATCTTGCTTTATAAAATAGAGAAAAAAAAAAAAAATTAAAAATCGACAATTAAAAAACATTACACACATTCACCGAAAAAATCCGAATAAAATAAAATAAAATTGTAAATATGTATAGAACGAATAATCATTATCATCTTTGAATAGTGAAATTTACTAAACTACATGTAAATTGAACATGCTCCATTAGAAAAATATTTTTATGAAATCACAATCTACAATACGATCCTAGTCTTTGGAGTAGGGTCGCGAGAAAGTGATGAAAAGTGAGAAAACGAGAAAGAATGTACCAGTGAATAAAGACAATTTCAAGGAAAGCAATCTGTGTGAATCGTACAAATCTGGTCGGTCTTTTTCCTACTAACTAGACTTTCTTCCTCAAATTGGTGCTTAACCACTCCAAGCCTTCATAAAGACCATCACCACTTGTGGCACAAGTGGCTTGGATATACCAATGACGTTGTCGAAGAGAATGAAGCCCAAGTTTATCCGTGATTTCCGCAGCATTCATGGCATTGGGCAAATCTTGTTTGTTGGCAAACACCAGGAGAAGTGCGTCACGAAGTTCATCTTCGTTAAGCATACGTTGAAGTTCTTCCCTTGCTTCTGAAATACGTTCACGATCATTTGAATCAACAACAAAAATAATACCCTGGGTATTTTGGAAGTCTTTGAAGAATGGGTAAAAGGATATCGATACAAGTTATTATTGAATGTAATCAATAAACACAAAACGCAAGAACCTACAGTGACGCCATAACGGTCGGATCTTGTCTTGACCACCGACATCCCAAACGGTGAAAGAAATGTTTTTGTATTCTACAGTCTCAACGTTAAAGCCTGAAAAAAAATTATGAAAGGTCAAAAAGAATGAAAGGAAGTAAAATAAACAAGCGAAAAAAGAAATAAAAAGAAAAGAAAAAAAAAGATAAAAAAAAAAAAAAAAAAGAAAAAGGAAAAAATTTTTCGGAAATTTATGTACTTGTCCAGGAGTTTAGATTACACTTTTTCAAGCCAACTCACCAATAGTGGGGATGGTTGTAACAATTTCACCCAATTTAAGTTTGTACAAGATGGTTGTTTTGCCAGCAGCATCCAAGCCAACCATCAGAATACGCATCTCCTTTTTTCCAAAAAGGCCTTGGAGAAGTTTAGAGATTGAGAGACCCATTGCTATGCGCTTGATATGTATTTGTTACGGAAAAATAAAACTGAAAAGTTATCCGACAGAGTGTTTGAGCAAAAGAATCCAACGTAGGTGCTTTTATAAGTAGAGACCGCAGGTTGAAATGAAGAAGCGGTGTTGCTATTAAAAAAGGGAACACAAAGAAACAAAAGAGGAGGTCAAGATTTGGCCTGATTTTAGTGGTTAATCGATGATGATGGCGACGCAGATACTGCGTAGATATTTGATGGCAAATAGATTAATGCCAGGTTGATATGTTGATCCAGCCGCCGGAGTGAGCGTCGGAATAAACGGTAAAAAATAAAATCTAATAATGATAAGGGGAATATACCCTCTGGGATTGTCATATTATTTGTGGCGATGGTGCGATAGTTCAATTGTATAAGAACACGTTCTTTTAACATTCACATGGTCAATCAAGAACCACTCTCCAGCCTCCACACGTTCTGTTGCGGTCGGAAAGTTGGTCCGGCATTATCATCCACGTGGCAGCTTCGAAAGGGTTCTCTTTAATTTAACAATTTTGTGCTATTATTAATATAAAGTTTTTGTATTAAGGAGATATACAGTACGTGTGTACTGTAAGTTAAAAAACTGTGCCCATAAAAAGCTTCGACTTTCTTTTTTGGTCGTAACAATGGAATCTAAGGCGTATCATGGAATGATTGGTGGATTTACGATGAAAAGAATATGATAAAGATTGGCACACTCGTCTCATACTTTCAAAATGTCTCAAGTCAGAAGAAACATACCCTCTTTCACGGCCGTTACCTCGAGTTTCAGATCATATATCTTCTCTTTACCATTGTTGACAACCACAATTGTCTGTGTGACAATTCTTCTGTATGCTTTGGATGCTCTATTACTGAGTGTGAACACCGTTTACAGCAAGATCGATCTTCTGCCGGAAAAATTCTTCGAGGGACAAGGTACGCTGGTTTTGTTGCGGGCCGAGTTTACGCGAAGCATTTAATGATCTTTCGTTCGTGCGACTTCAGTGTGGCGTCTATTCACTTATCCTTACCCACACCTCTCTCTCGGGCACATACTTTTTAACCTCCTCACTTTCTTACCGTTGAGCACCACGATCGAGCACACCATTGGAACCATAGAATATGCATATATTTTGATTACCATTTTTACGATACTTTCGGGTTCATTTTACCTACTAGGATCATTAATATTCAACTACAAGGATGTCAGCGTTGGAGGTTTGAGCCCCTGGGTGTTTGGTGTCGTGGTTTGGGAAAGCAGGGAATTGGCTGGACGCGAACGAGAGTTCGTATTCAGGGCATTTCAAATTTCCACATTTTGCCCTCCCTAATGCCTGTTTGATATTAACAAAATTTTATTTTTTTTTTGCTGCAGCCTTTTTGGCCTGTTCAGAGTCCCAGCACATTTTTATCCAATCGTGTTGTTACTATTGATGGAAATATTTTTTCCTCGCGCGTGGTTTGCCAGTCACATATGTAGCTTAATCGTTGGTTACTTTTGTATGTAATTAATAAATCGTTTTGTCTTTTCTGCGACCGAGAGTCTTTTAAATTCACCAATCCGTCGTTTAATTCTTCTAGATGCATTCGGGCACCTTTCACGAATCCTTCCGCCTTCAAGTTTCTTCTCAAATATCGAATTGAGAGCACCATTTTCTCGAATTGTAAACATTCGCGGGTTCATCAAGGCCGAAGAAGGTAACAGGAGTGGATGGTGGTTGCCATTATCAAACGAGGAGTCGATGGATGATCACCTAGAGGCTTCGTCGATAGGTGAAGGTGCTGCCGAGGTCGCTGAATCCGGCAATACTGTTACCAGCACAGCGTACGTTTCATCTTCCTCATCCTAACAAGTTATCTCTGGGATTATAAAGTAATATTACCCTCATCGTCTCTATACTCAATTATACAGCCAGGTTACACCTTCGGATCCATCTGTTCATTCGACACCATTGTTTGTCGTCCCATCTTCAAACTCCTCTAGTCGATCAAATTCTCCCTCACCGGAAACAGCACCTTTATCTACGGAGTCGAACCTAAGCCCCGGAGATGGCGATCCTTTAACAGGTCAATAAAATACTAACGAGGACTTCCAGTTTAATGCCTTATGTGTACAATCCTGTAAATACTCAATAAAATATGCGTATTATTTAAGATGTAAATCTGTACATCCGTATGCAATTTAACATATCTGGAAATTATTTAGTAAATCGCGTTGTACATATTTGGTCGCATACTTATACTTACATGTACAGCAATAAGTGATGGCCATCATTTTTAGTATCACTTAATTTCACTCGATAAAAACATCCTTGGACCTCCTAACTCAATCATATACTGTATTATAAATCCCGTGGTGAACTTTAGAATATTGTTTCTTTGTTGGCGCGACATTCTTTTTTGCTGGACGTAAAAAAAAAAAAAAAATGTCCGAGAGAGGAAAGGCCCCTGCGAGATTGCCACTCCATATTAACATAAATGCCAACATGTTTGGCACGAGAACAAGCTCACTACGTAAAATATGGAACAATTCACCTTTTCGCCCTTACATAAAGAAATTTATTAAGACCAATGCTAAATTCAAGCAACAGATACTATTGGTCGTCCTGTTTCTCTTATTTTGGATCTGTATATATAATATAAGTCACCTTTCAAGGGTGGGAGAGATAACACCGCAGGAATCGATGCCTCAAGAAGTGGACATGCTATCCGGTGTTTATCCTACCGACGGAGACGGTGAAACAACAGCGGTTCTGTTAAATTGGTCGAGATTAGATAATTTAAAGGTTATAGTAAAGCATCTCTGCCAATACTCGATGTTCAAGGAGATCATGATATGGAACAACAATGGCGAAGTGCATCTTTCTGATCAGGTAGGAAATTCTTTATCTTGTTAACTTGAAACAGCGGGAGATCCATGTTTATAATGAAAAATTCAATTTTAGGACAACACTCATAATTATAGTCATAAAGAAAGAAGTGCAAATTTATTGATGGCAATATTCCTTTTTTATATTGAAAGGTTTTTGCTGACACCCATTGTCCTAAGCTCCGATACTACAACTCTCCGGAAAACATGTACTTCATCGCTAGATATATTGCTTGCGCGATGGCCACCACACCTTATTGTTATTTTCAAGACGATGACTGGATAATTCGACAAGTGCGATCCATGTATGCAAACTTTCTGCGTTTCCCGAATTTGGTTCACATCGACACAGATGCCAACGTGTATTCTTTAACGAATTGGAAGTGGTGCTTTTTTGACGATTGTACGTCACCCTGACTTAACCCCCAACCGTTTAAATCTCGTCGAAATCTCACCCAATAACTTTTTTGTGGCTTCTCAATTTTTAGCTATTGATCTGCACTCTTGCTTTTCCTGGGTTGGAACTGGTGCTTTCGCAACAAGGGAAAATGTGATTAAATTTCTTAAAATTGCTTCGGTCGCTGAAATGGATCCCATCGAATTTTCGTTTGGTGACATGTATTTCACAACATTCATGAATCAAGTGCCCTATCAGTTGGAAAATGAACTGCAGGAATTACCGCGAGGAAATGCTTTTAGCGCTGACGATGAAAGGATTCGCAATAAGCTTTACATGCATAAGGCCTTATTACGCCTATGTGATCATCTCTCCCGCAAAACGGGCGCATTCGAGACCGGCGAACTTTATCCCAACATTTATCAAAGGGACGTAAGATCTCCCTGTGCTAACGACCGATGCCTATTTTTGACAAATAAACGCACTTTTCCGGATGTTCGAGTTTTCCGTTATAGACCATCGGTAAACATCAGCGAGTCCGAGCGAATACACGAAGATTATTATAACACGGATCATTTCATTAAGCATCCGTATTCCCATGCTGTTGACGGCAAAGATTGGACCGCCTGGAAATCACAAGAAGGTAGATGATCATTTCAATCTTACAATGGCCTTCCGTTTTGTTATTGCCTCCTCGAATGAACTCTTGTTGAGGTTACCTTTTTATTTTTAGCCATTCGTAAAGATGATTACATAGGCTTAGATCTATTGTTTCCAACTCCCCTTCCTCTCACCTTTAAACTCGTCATCGACCACCATAGAGATTATTTTTCCTCACTCGAAATACACATATCCTTTGATGGAATAGATTGGGTAGTTAGTTGTATATTTTTTTTTTTTCTTTTTTCTTTGGCAGAAGATGTTACCTCTCAAACGTCATATTTAAATATTTGCTATTCGTGTAGATACCATTGGTGCCTCTTCCAAAAATATCCATCCGTCAACTTCCGCAAACCGGACTTGACGGAAAAACACACTTATTATTATGTTCATTTCAAATTCGAGAAACTGGCATCAGGTTTGTTAGATTGACGAGCACTGACGAATGGGAATTTCCATATGGCGTATACGATTTCTCTTTTCATGCTAGTACGGAGGTGTTTTACATAGGAAATAACGAAAATTTGTAAATTTGTATGTGCATAATATTCGACTCTTAATTAATAATGTATTAGCTGAATGACGAGGGTTTTCAAAGAATGCTACACCTCGAGGTACCCCGACTATCCACGATTGAGGGAAAAAAGATAGGCGAGTGTGGACAGCTCTAGCTTTCCCTTAGAGTATACCGTGTAATGCTGGTAACAATGTGAATTAGAATTTCGCGGAATGCATGAAATAATGATATCCGTTATTTAGACCAAATATTACTTTTTAAATTCTTTTCTTCCGATTTTTCTTGGTGCACTTTTTATTGAAAGAAAATTAACAATAATAATCACAAGGGCAGGACGAATTTTTTCGTCTTAAGCTCGATAACTTCAGGCTTGGTGATTCTGTTTTAATGAGTCAATTTCAAATTGTAATGACTCATTATTTGAAATGTATAATTACGCAAAGTTTTGGTAACAGGTATTGCAGTTTTTATTTTCATCTAATTGTCACATGTTAGAAATATACAAAAAATTGTCTAGAAATTCCTTTGTAATTTCATTAAAGTTATCACCTTCCATTGTCATGTTATTTTTCACTTTGATTTTAATGATTATTTATGGTATATTTAAATTAACTTAAAACAAATCAATTTATTAATCTTGATTATATCATTTTTATATCAAAAGATTTGAAGAAATATTTAAACATTCATATTCTTTATATATATTATACATAGATACATTATCTTTTCACATTATAAAAGTTATAATTTTGAAAGAATAGTTTAATATTTCAAAAATGATTCTATTTTTTATAATCTATATAATGAACAATTTTGTCAATCCTATTTTTTATCAAAAATTTCTTTGTTTATTTTCTTTATCTACATTAACAAATTTATCAATTTTTATTAAATTTTTTTTAAATATCAGCTCATCCTTGTATCATAATAATAAGGATTTTATTAAAATAAAAAAATACTAGGGACAATCAAAATAAATAATTATTTACAATATACTGTTTAAAGATTTATGGATTAACAAATAATATAAAGAACAAATTATTTATGTCTCTCTCACTCAATTAGAATATGATAATTATATAATTATTTGATATAAATATTTTATTTATAAAAACAAAACTTTAAAATAATAGGAAAATATAAAAATTCATATTATGTTAATTTTTTCTACTATGCAATAACACTTATTAGAATCTAAACTTTTCAAGTAACTTATTGTTATTTCAATATGAGTTATAATTTTTTGGAAAAGTTTATTATTATTAAACTTTATAGTTATTGCATCAATCACAACTAACAATTACTTATTTAAAAAATAAGAATCTACAGATTTTTTTAAAAAAAAATTTAATAATTAATATGATTACTGTTATTCTTTATTATTAGCTTACACTTATTTTGCATAAATTTAACTATATTTATTAATGTAGTTTTCAGAATTGCTTCTCATTTCTACTTTATAAATAATTCTAATTTATCTAAATTTGTGACACTTTTTTTTTCACATTTGTTTTTACTATATTCCATAAGTTTTTGATTGAATTTATATCTGAACTATTGAATGGTCACCTGAGAACTTTAGAAACATGTGATTCAAGATATGACTTTACTAAAAAGCTTAAATATTTGAGGTCATTGTTTTGCTGAAGTTATCATTCTTTCTTATCAAACTTTTGATTTCCATTATTCTTTTTTTTTAATATGTTAACATAGTATTTCACATTCATTGTTTTTTTAAAATAGACTAATTAACCTTATTTCCCTTAAAAAACCCTTCCCATACAAATATATTTTTT